GATATATACCCAAAGAAAATGAAAGCACTAATTCAAAAAGATATATGCACCCCAATGTTCATAGAAGAATTATTTACAATAGCCAAGATACAGAAGCTACCTAAGTGTCCATCAACAGATAAATGAATAAATAAGATGTGGTATATTATATACAAATATATATTTATATTATATATATTATATATATACATAAATACACACACACACAATGGAATATTACTCAGCCATAAAAATAATGAAATTCTGCCATTTGCAATGGGCCTAGAACATATTATGCTTAGTGAAGTAAGTCAGACAGAGAAAGAAAAATACTGAATGTTATCACTTATATGTGGAATATAAAAGATAAAACAAATAAATGAATATAACAATACAGAAACAGACTCACAGATATAAAGATCAAGCTAGTGGTTACCAGAGGGGAGAGGGAAGGTAGGGGCAAGATAGGGGTATGGGATTAAAAGGCACAAACTGCCATGTATAAAACAAGCTACAAGGATATATTGTACAGCACAGGGAATATAGACAATATTTTAAAAATCACTTTAAGTGGAATATAATCTATAAAAATACTGAATCACTATGTTTTACACCTGAAACTAATATAATATTATACACCAAGTATATTTCAACAAACATATTCTTAAATAAAATGAAATCCAGCTCCATCTAGTACCACTGTACCTCGGGCAAGTGAGCAGGCCTCCCCGCGACTTGAGCTGTGCTTGTAAGATGCGAGAGCAGTGTGTGGCTTAAAGGACTATTGTGAAGGAAAATGAACTGTTACTATAAAGCATTCAGAATATTGCCTGATACACAAAGAGTGTTCAATGCACATTACAACTCTTCTAACTGCAGTCTGTTATCATCCATAACAATCACATCAAGCACCTCCAAAGGAAGAAATGCTAAGTGAACTGCAGCATCTCAGCAGGTCTAACGGAAACTAACTTCATGAAACTGTTTCTACAGGTGGGGGCATCACTTATTCTGCATTGAATGACAATAAAATGTATTTTTTATTCAAAAATAGAAAACTTTTCATTATAAAACACCTATTTAACAATTCAAACAATTCAGACATGGGTAAAATGGAAAGCAAAAATTACCTATACTTCATCCTTTCCCCAAAGATGGCTGTTTTTAATAGTTCAGCATATATTTCTCCAGACATTTTCTGTGCCTACACACACTTACACAATAAAAGACAGTTTATACTACATGCAGGCTTGCGACTTGCATGTCCATTTAACTGTGGGCATAGTTTTCAATAGGTGTAGAGATCCATTAGAACGACCCAGTACTGTTTTGATGGATGTCTGCAGTGTTTCCAATTTTTTCACCACCAAAAACAATGTTAGCAACCATGTATAAATGTAGTTGATTTCTTATCCAGTAATTTTGTCAGGATAAACCCCTAGAAACTGAATTGCTGGATTGAAAAGCATGAAGAAATATTCTAACTCCACACCATTTTGGGCAGAAAAAGGTGAGCCTCAAAGGACTAAACAACCCTGTGACTCTCACAACTTGCGCTGCCTTACCCTTGCCCTTTGCCCCTTGCCCTCACCACACATTCCCACAGCCCCTGTAAACCAGTTCATTCTGCTTTCAGGCCATTGTTACAGCCTGAGCGCCCTGGGTGTCCTCCACCCTTCAGAGAACTGTCAGAATGCAACTGTTACGAACCACAGACCCACTTTACTACCTTACAGCCCAAAAGGTAAGGCCCTTCAGGCTTCTTTGCTGTGTCAGGATTTTTTTCCCTGTATTGTTTTTCTCAAAATAGAACACAAACAAACACATACACACACCCTGTGAAATAGAACCCCCACACTGAAAAGTGCATAAACATGTAGGTACAGTTTAATGAATACTTCTACAGCAAATGCCTGTGTAACTGTCACCCAGGACCAGAGGTAAAAGGGATATTACCACTGCTCCAGAAGGACCTCCTCACCGTCCCCACCATCTACCTGCCCAAGTCATAATTCCTTCCCTCTCTCATGGGGCACCACCATACTGGGTTTTTGAGTGATGATTTCTTTGCTTTCCTTTATAATTTTTACACATATATATGAATCCTTAAACAACATGGTTGAATTTTCCCTGTTTTTGAACTTCACCTGAATGGAGGCTCATTCATGTCCTGCTTCTTTGTTGGTAAGATTCATAATGGCCATTTAGATTGTGTTTGAGCTATGTCAAAAAGTAACAGCATGAAAAAAAAAAAGTAATAGCATGAAATCTTATATGTCATTTCTGGACTCTGTTCTGTTCCCATGGTTTATTATCTGCATACCAAAACCATATTGTTTTAATTATTACAGCTTTGTATAACCTTTGCTATCTGGAGAGCAAGTTCTCCCTTCTTGCTTTCCTCTGAGTCTTTGTTTATTCTTGACTTTCACATCCCATATCAATTTTAGAATAAGCTTATCAGGTTCTAAAACAAACATGTTGAAATTTGGATCAAAATCACATTCAATCTTGCCATTACTGAGCTCCAATCTATGAAATGACATAGTTCTCCATTTACTGACATATTCTTTAATATAATTCAATAAAGTTTAGTTTTCTCCCCATAGATTTTGGTATTTCTGATAACTTCATGTTTCTGGTGTTATTCTAAACTAATTTCTTGTTTTGAGGTTTCTTGGATCACCTTGGCGTCAGGAAGCTGGGCAGGAATGCACTGGTGGGGGGCCCTTTACAGGGATGCCTTTGCCTACTCTTCTCCCGCTAGGGCGGTGCACCCTGTGGCCCCCTGGGGGTGCAGGGAAGGGAGCTGGTTACCGATGGCTTACCTTCATCATGGACACAGCCTCCAGGACCCCAGCAACGCGTGCGTGTGCTGCAGTGTGTGGTGGGCACCTCCAGTCAGGATTCCCAACTTTGCAGGCTCTGGACTTTTTAATTTCTGTTCCCCTCACTCCTCAATGTCATCAAAACACAGCTCAGTTTCAAGTCTGGATTATCATTTATCTTAAGAGTAAAAGTGATTTTGAATTTTCTGTTTACCTTTCTTTTTTTTCTTAGGGTTTAGACTTATGTCACTTTAGTTGTGGGATGTTTCTATGAGCTTAAAAAAAAATTCATCCCGCATTTTTAGTTGCTTTCCATGAGAGGGTTAGTTTGGATAAACCAGCCTGCCATTATCAAAAAACAAGAACTCCATAAAGGTTGCTAGTTTTTAAATTCTGGTTCAGACCAAAACAAACATTTACCAAGCTGAGAACCAAAGGGAAACAAGGGAGTTGAGGCTGTCTTTGCTTCACAGAAGTCCCACATTTATTTATTTTTTTCAGTTTGGCAGCATTGGTAAGGAGCCAAGCTAGAAACAGGTTTGAAAAGACAACTTAGATAAAATCCTTACTCTTAGAAATAAAATCTTATAATAGTTTAAACAACATGTTTATAAAATTCCATTGTATTTTTCATTTTAGCAAAATGATTATACTGACATATGTTCTTTCTATATGCAGACCCAGGACTTTATTTTAAAGCAGCTTAATTCATGTTCTTCAGAGATTTAAATATCTTATTCCAAAACATTTTAATGGTGAGATAAGTGAAGATACAGTAAACCACGGAGCCAATTATTTCTGCCAGATTTCCCCTTGAATATGATTGCAGATTTCTACTTTTTATACAGGAATACAGGCTACCAACTGGAAATAATTCCCATTGATGCTCTGGAAAAAGCTCTGGGAACAAATGTTATGTACTTACTATACATACTTTAATTTCTGAATGTTAATAGCAAAACATTCCTTGGCTATTTAAGTTCAGAAATTTAATAATATAAACTAGCCAGGATGATCTTTGTGAAATACAGTAAAACATGAACACAGTTTATTTTTTGTGGAAATTAGGAAAAGTTCCACTGGCAGAAAACATATGAAAGATATATGTAATATTTGAAAAAATCAATCATTAGGAGCTTAAATTCTTAAAAACACAAGCTGATAAACTAAGATGATCAACTGTTTATGAGTTTTTCTGTTAATAATTAGAAGGAGCAGTTTCCAGGAGTTTTAAAAATCATAGAGGAAAAGCTTAAAATTGAAAAATTCTATTCATTTGATATATTCTCACTAGCTTTTTTTCCCCTGGGTATACGCAGTGTTTTATACTTTTGTTTCAGATCACACAGGTTCCTCTAATCTTGCCATCTCTTCAAATAACCGCCCTCCCTTCACAGCCAAACTTCTCACACAGAACTCCAGCGTTGGCTTCCTGTGCACCTGACCATGCTCTCTGCTTCACCTTTGAACCGCAGCAGCCACTAGAGACCGCTGAGACCAGAGCTGCTGCCTCGCAGGCCTCCTCCTCCTGGGCTTTTACTGACACCAGTGTTGCCACTCCGCACCCTCCTTTTTCTTGTCTCTGGACTCCACACCTCTGCTTTCCGACCTTATCCTGACTGCTTTAGTCTGCACCTTTCCCTCCCCTCCATTCCTTAAGCGTCAATATCCCAAACAGCCATGTTCCTGTTACATTTTCCCAACTACTCCTCCATTTCTGTATTTTTAAAAGAGAACAGTCCTCTTGCATTGATCAAGCTTGAAAATCCAGCTTCATCTCTGACCCTACCTCTCCAGCACACGCCCTGTGCAGCCAGCTTTCCTGACCAGCCATTTCCAGGTCTGTCAGTACTGTCTTATTTTCCCTTCTCTGGTCCTTGGATTAGGTTTCTGGAGCAGTCTCCAGATGACTTCTACACACCTAAAACTCCCCTTTACCATCACGGCCCAGTCTGCAGTCATTCTGGTCCCTGTACGAAGCATATGTTAACTACCCCGGAATCAGTATTCACTGCTCCTTAAACACGTATAACCTTGTCAGGCCTTTGTTCATTTTAGGTCTTTCCTTTGGAATGCCCTTCTTCCCACTCCTCCCACGTCCCAGGTGTGTCTGGCATAACCACTGTTCATCCTTCAAGATGTCTAGAGTACTCAATGCCAGTCAGGAAAGGAAACAGAAAAACTGTGTCCAGAGACGCAAGATTACAGAGGCCACGGGAGAATAGTGTTTCAAGAAGGGGGTAATCAAAGGACAATCTTGTTAAGGAGTAAATGAAAATAAGGAAAAGTCCACCAATGGCTCTTCTCAAATGAGCTGTTCACACTCACGATTTTCAATCCCCTCTGCACCTCCCCCTTCTCTCTTAAACGCACTCAGTCAGACTTTCACCTCCACCATGACACAGACATTGCCTGTCAGGGTCATCTGTGAGCCCCACACTGTGAAATCCGATGGTCAACTCCCAGTCCTCCTCTTACTCCAAAGCCTGCTCCTTTTCGTCTCAGTTGGTAACAGTTCCGTCCTCCCAAGCGATCAAGCCAAAGCCGTGGAGTCATCCTCAACACCTCTCTTTCTCTCAAATCCCCGACCCAGTGGACCTTATGCTTCACAATATATCCAGAATCAGACACTTCTCATTTCCTCTACTGCTACCAGCCATTTTCGTCTCTGCCTGGGTTCCTGCAGCGACCTCCCAGCAGGCCTTCCTGTTTCTTCCCTTGAGCTCTCCTCTACCCCTGGTCCAGTCTCAGCTCAGCAGTCAGAATGATGCTGTTGAAATCTAAGTCGGATTGTGTCACCCCTCTGGTCCCAACCCCATTTCACTCAGTGTAGAAGTAGGTGTTCCCAATCAGGTCTTATCTCCTGGCCTCCCCTCTCTGGCTCATTTTACTCTGTCTACGCTGGGCTCCCTGATGTCTCCTTGAGCACACAGGCTGCTCCTTACGCCTTCAGTTACCCATGTGGCTAATTCCTTTACCTCCTTCATGTCTTTGCTCAAGGAATCCCACCTAAACCACATCCCTTACTTTGCTCTATTTCTCTTTTTGCTATACTTGTCACTTTCTAACACATTATGTACTTTATTTATTTGTCATGTTTATTGTCTCTCTCTCCCTGTTAACGTTCACTGATACATCCCAAGCACCTACAATAGCTCCTGGCACATAGCAAATACTCAACAAATGTCTGCTGAATGAAAGAATTAAAGACTTTGAGAATAAAGATTTGGGTAGTGGTAAGGACCTAAAATAGTTCACATGGGTCCAGCAGCAAATGAATGTGAAGAAATGGAATCGCAGATGTGGAAGAATTTGTAGTTTATCTAAGCCTTTCCATTCCTATATACATTCACTCTGATGTATGAAAAATACACCTATTTGAAGCACTTTTTTTTAATTAAAAATAAGACACTATGACAGTTTGTTGGATACAACATGAACATTTTAAACATCAATAAATAATGACCATGACATCTCTAAATATTTATAAATAGTGACCATTCTTAAGTATCAACAGATACTCAGTATATTGTTAGTTTCAGCATAATGGCAGATGACGTGCAATTTGAAAAGGAGAGCAAACACTGATTAGCCAACTGGTTAGTCAGATAAAAGTTAACCATTGACTAATCCATATTTTTTACTTACTTTCTATGTAAGCAACAAATAAAATGTAAATAAAATAATATATAATAATGTGTAATATAATAATTATAATAATATACAATAAAATATAGATTAAAAACACAAATAAAATAAGCAACAAACACTGTGAAATTTAAAATACGAATAGAACAGAAAAAGGGTTTTTACATTTCTATTTAGATACTATACTATGATGATAATTTTGGCACATTCAGTTTTAAATGCAATGGCTGATCTTTTACGATTCTGTATATAGGCAAACATAAAACCATTTATTTATGGTTTTAAAATCGTAATGGTTCCAAAACTAACATACAGTTGGAAACTGAAGAATGATTTGGAGGCAGGGTGAGGGGTGTTCCACAATGCATATAAACTACTGGAAATTTAGACAAGGAAGTACAATTCAGTTTTCCTTGATTAGATTTGGAATTATTCTGGCTTTCAAAAATACAATCTCTAAAATGAACCGAAATCTTCATTGATTTCTCTAGTAATTTAGAGCACAATTTGGTCTGGAATCTCATCTCTGAACGTGGACTCATAAATGATCAATCAATCAATCTGTCGATATATTTTTATAGTAAATCACGTGTGTGTGTGTGGTGTGTGTGTGTGTATGTATTTTTTTGGTAAACTTTCATTAGGATAAATATTGTAAGATGAAAAATAAACCTACTTTGCACCAGAAAATAGACTGATTCTAACATAAGCAGGCTTTGCCATGTAGGTTAACATTTAAGTAAGGAAATACTATCCTTTAAACTCTAAGTTTTAGATACTAACGGAGTGGAGGATGGGCTATCAAGATGATTTATACAAAGAATAGAAGATACTACATACTACTTAAGCAATGGGCTTATCTTTTAAAATTATTTTGCTAAGTCTAATAGCAAAATAAGTCTGTATTACCTAAGGCATGATAACTGGACAGTAGCAGGAAGGCAGCCTGGGAACACATGGTGCAGCAGGCAAGACTGGTTGCAGTGGGTATGTGCTGTGGATTATTAAGCGACCAAATATATATCCTTACTAACAGCACCTTCATAAAAAAATATTTTCACTGCAGCTTCACAAACGAAATGACATATCATTTTTTCACTGCAGTCTACTAGTTATCTATCATACTTGTTTTAGAATGAGAAAGGCACACTCAAAATAGGCTCTAAACCAGATGTATTTCCCTATGAAAATGGAAAATAATTATAAAATAGAGATAATTCTGGAAAACAGAAATATTTGCAGTAAAGATATGTAGTAAATTAATTAACAAGGCACACTTTCAAGAGCAAGAATTACATTTACAGTTTTGAAGTTAAGTTTGTGTTCATTTTTGCCTTCAATTGCTGTGGTTTAGTGAAGTAGCAAAAGCAGCAAATCACACTAAAAAAATCTAAGTTCAGCCTATACTTTACTATCTGCTGGCTCTTTTTCATTTATGAAGGATTATTTCAGTGGAATATTAATGAGAATTTTTGGCTTCTTTTAAACAACCTACTATAAAATTATATCACATTTTATAAATTAAACACCTAAACTTTTTGAAAGCCAGAATAATGCTAGTTAGGAAAGAAGCTCCATTTCTGTTGCTTTCTTCTTATGTGTTAGAGAATTCAGTTGTAATATGGACAAACTTGTCACTGTTGCCATTTGCTTCCATACATTTACACTCCGATGTCTTTGCCAGGAACCCAGAATGGGTTTGCCGGAGACCAGACCATGTGATCAATGGCAGTCTTTTTGTTTCAGTAACCCAGTGCCTAGCCTACCACTTGGCACATAGCATGTACTTAATGAATACGGCTGAACAAATAAACCTCCATTCCAATATTCTGATTATATGGCTGAAGGCTCTAGTTCTTCTGTGAAATAGATTTTATTTTTATTGAGGGCATCCTGTCATTTGCATGTTAAACTAAAGTGAAATGTAGTGAATCAATAAAGACATGGTAGACCCCAAAAGTTAATGTATATGTACACGTTCTTTTTTTTCTCTAAAAATATGTTATCCCTTATCTGTAAGAGATATATACTAAAATGTTTATGGGTAAATTATACAGTGCATTGAATTTGCTTTAAAATAGTAGAGAAAAAAGTGTATCTGTGAGAAACAGATGACACAGTGGCAAAATATTAATAACTGTTGAGGCAGGGTGTGACAGGTACTTAGAGGTTTTCCTTATACTATTATCACTATATTGCATGGCTTGAAAGGTTCAGTAGTAAAAATAATGAACTCAAATAAATTTCAACAATAAAAATAGTAAAAGCAAAATAAAGGTATTTCCAACTAACAAAACTACTATATAACTGGATATTTGCAAAGATCTGCACAAGACTAAAAATGACATTGCTGTTATAGTGAAAAGCTGGGAACAACTTAAATGTCAATCAGTTGGGATGGTTAAATACATTACACCCACATGCAAAGAAACACTATGTAACTATGAAAAAACCTGTTGAGTGAAAAAAAGCATTTCCACAGCAGTGGATGGAGCCTGATTCCACGTTCACAGGAGTGCGTGTGAATGTCCATCCACTCTCCAGTGTGGTTATCTCTGCAAAGAGGAATTGCAGGCGGGTTTTTAAAAAACATTTTTCTTGAAACTGTTTTGTATTATTTAAAAGTTTTACAGGGGTATATATTAATTTTATATTTGGGGGAAATTCTCTATAATGATAGCCTATTTTTCTCATTACGTTATTCTTTCTAGCTGATGGAATTATTTTTAATTGTAAAGAATTGTGCTAGGTCTTAAGTAATTCAAAGTGAGAAAGTGCTATACTTCTTAAACAACAGAAATCTAGAGTACATTTCATTTATTTATAAAAATGAAAATAAAAAATTTTAAGGCATTCTAGCATATACATCTTTTCCTCAACCACTTACTGACTGCATATATAGTAAGATACAAAAACTACATGAAACACAACAATATAAAATATATGAGAATAGACTTAAGTATCTTTTGGTTAATTCAAATCAGGCTAACAATTCTATTAATTATAGAAAGAAACAGCATTTGGAAGAGAAAAGAAGAAAATGTTTTCTAGTCGGTTCATAAAGAATTTGGATTGAAAATATTCCAACAGTTCTATGTAAAAAAAATGATTTGTGGATATTTTAGTAATATGTTTGTTCTTAGAATAAAACAGATGGCAGAACAGTATCAAATGTAATTTCCAGATGCATGGTTTTGTGAATTCAGGGCTGTGGACTCAGTATTATCAGCCAAATGTCAAGTTTAACTGCACAATTTTTCAGAGTAAACTTTAACTTAATGATTAACTTCTGAAACATCACTTAAGGGTAATTATCCTGGGTCAGAGTCCAAAAGGCAAGTGTCCTAACAGCTGAGAAATCCTGTATCTTTGGGCAGTGTGCTGCTGCTGTGCCCTGTCCTCAGCCTGCAAAGGCCCCAGAGCACAGGGTGGGAGCCAGCGACGGGAGCCCTCTCCTCCTCCACCCTCTACAGGGGCTTTACAACACGTCACAGATGCTGTGCACAGTCGCTGTGCACAGTCCTTAGCCAAGGGCTGTGCTGTCCCCACCACTTACTATTTCCTTGCTAATTCTAAGGTTTCAAGGAATTTAAAAGTAGTTCCTTTGGTACACGAGATTGGGGATCCCTAAACTCGGCAATTCCAATTTGGATGATGTAATAAAAACTAAACCGGAAGATAATCGCTTAAGTTACCTGGTGGATAGTTTCTTCTTTCATATCCATGTCTTAAGCTTTAGGAATGATGAGAGATTTCTTAGGTTTTGATTTGTCCACGTTATGTATCTGTAACCAGATTGAAGAATCACATTTTGTTATAAATAAACTGTACACCTGCAGTTGGCTTAGAATAGATACTCTGTTTCTTAATGTGTTTCTGAATGATTTGGGGCAAATTATTTAAATCTTTATTTAGGGGTTTTAAAGGTCTATCACATGGTAAACACCCCCAGATTAAAGTATTTTTTTTACCTGGTTCCTAGAAGAGCTGGATTGTGTACACTGGACAGTACTGGAATGAGGCTTCTTCGAAGACTTTGAAGAGTCCGGACACAATTTCCTTTTAGACCTGTGGGCTGTTCTGCTCACTGTTAACCGATGGTCACTGACATCAACTTCTTGAGTTTGATCAACTGATTGTTGCTGTAGCAGTTGGGGATTTTCCATTTCTGTGTCTGACTCAAAAATGTGTGGTTGTTTTTTCACTTTTAGTGACACATGGCTTTTCCCTAAAATTTGTGTTATATATTTGCTTGTCAAATTTTCATTTCCATTCGTTTGGAAGTCAACAGCACTTTTTATTACACCTAAATTGTTATTTGATGTCTGAAATACTGAACTATTAGATCGTGGTTTACTTTCACTTAAACTCATAGTTGATGATTTTCCACCAGAAGGGGGATTTTTTGTCGCATTTTCACAGGACTCGGTGTTTTTTCCTTGCAGAGATCTAGCAGTCTTCAGATTTAAATTTCTAGAATTCATTTGAATGCTGCGATGAGATCTTTTTTCAATAGCTCGATGTAAATTTGGTTTGTCATACTGGGTCATGCTAGTTTTAAGTGAAAACAACTTAGATTCTGTAACAATATGTTGTTTTCTTTTCAGGTTGTCAGGTTCTAAGATATTTCTGTTCATCTGTAACGACTGATTTTTGAAAACTGGTATGAATTTAGGGGCAATATTATGCTGGGAGCTAAAATTTGCGTCTTGGACTTGAGTATTTACTCTGCTGAGCTTTGGTACTTCCAGATGCACTTGTGCTGTCTTGCCAGACAGGGACTTCTTTGTGCTCTGAACAGATTCTGGCTGGAGGGGCCGAGCTGAGGGCAGGTAGGACTTCGGCTGGCTGACTGAAAGCTCCACCTTGTGGTCTGCAGCTATGAAATGTGGTAGAAGATTTTGAACCAGGGCGGGTCTTGTGGAAGGGGGCTGAGCCAGAGAGGACCTGAACTTTTGTTTAGTGGTTAGGTTGGGCGGCTTGACTTTGTTTTCCTGAAAGGATAAAGATTAGGAAATTTAGAAAATGTAATAACGTCCTTAATGGAAAAGAAATAAGATATAAAACATCATCAAAATAAGAATATAATATATAGAACAGGTAAAGAAAAACAAAAAACAAATGAGCCTTATTGAAGACGAGTATATTTCTTATGTTTTGTATCCTTCTTTTGATACTACCCTTTCAAGATAATATTTTAAGATGAAGTTATGTTCCAAGTTCTATATAAATCAACTATAAAAGCTACACACGTGGCGACTACCGTTGTCCTACGGTTGTATGCATGCTGCCGTCTTCCTCAGAAGGCCTTTCCCTCTTATCTCCATTTAATCTCTCTCTACTCCCCAAGGATCTGCTATCAGAATTTGTCACCCAAAAAAACAGGACGAGGTAGCGGTCTTATTCTTTAGTGTGCATGTTCAATCTCCCCAAGTAGATGCTAGATTCTTTGAAGGTATGAATCATGACTTTCTTATTCTTACATTCTTCACATTCTTAAATCCTTCATACAGTTACTAACAAAATATTTATTCAAATAAATTAAATTAATGGAGGAGGTGGTTGCATCTACACTAGGCCTTTCAGAATAAGTAAGATTTGGACTGCAGCAGCCTCTTCATGTGGACTGGGTCCCCTCACACATGGCAAAGCAAGTGTCCCAAGAGAGCAGTAGAAGCCATTTTTCGTTTAATGACTTAGTCTTGGAAGTCATATGGCATCACTTCTGTCACAGGCCTGCCAAGACCCAAGAGGAGGGAACACAGACTCTATTCCACGAGAGGAGAGTGGCCACTGGTCAGAAGGACATGTGATCTGGGGCCACCTTCAAAATGGAATAGATGTCAGAGAGCAGTCCGCTTCTTACCAACATCAAGCCTCTGACGTCACAGTACAGGTGGTCTAGAGAAGACCTGGTGTGCTTGGCACTGGAGCCACACACAAACCTGACGCAGGATTTAGAAAGCTGAAAGAGATGGGATGGGGTGGAAGGAGCCACGGCAAAACTCCTACTCCACACCAACAAGCTGCCAGAGCTTATCCCAGATGAGTCTGAGTTGCAACACTGGCCTCACTCAGACTTTTAAGTGTGAACATGGCTCCTGTTTTGCCTCTACTTTCCCGACAATCATGTGGCACCCCAAGCCAGAACTAAAAGGAAATTTAGTAAAAAAAGGAATTCAAGGACACATACCTATAGTGTACTCACGTTGACTTAATACAAAGTCACCACAGAGGACAATGCTCCTTCTCCCACCCTGACTATTTCTGGAAGAAGTGGGAAGTTCCCAAGAAAATCCTGGGTAAGGTTTGGGGTGATGCTGATAGTAGGTGACTGGGCTCATTTTTGTCTGTAGACTTCTCAAGGTGGAGTCTTATCCACGTCAGTAGGGCAAGAAGGCACCCCACTTTATGTCTCCCTAATTTTCAGAGGGCACAGAAGAGGACCCAGCCAACTTTCATGACCCGAAGTGAAGGGATGCAGGGGCTAACTGAGAAGTAAGAGCTGGTCTATAACACCAGGAGGTTGCTAGGCTGAGTGAAAAGCACGCAGCAACAAAGGGTTTGCACTGCTTGACAGGGCTGCTCTAACAAAGCCACTGCCACCAGAAACACGGCCACTTTAAACAACAGAAACGTATTGTCTCAAAGTTCTGGAGGCTAGAAGTCCAAAATCAATGTGCTGGCAAGATTGGGGCCATGAAGAAGAATCTGTTCCAGGCCTCTTTCCTCAATTTGTAGATGGCCATTTCATATTCACATGGCATTCTCTCTGCATATGAGTCTGGATCCAAATTTCTCCTTTACATAATACCAGTCATACTGGATTAGGGGCCCACATATTCCAGTGTCTAATCATATTTGTAATGGCCCTATTTCAGACAAGGTCACATCTTGTGGTACTAGGGGTTAGGACTTCAATATATCAATTTTGGGGTGGGGAGGGCACTTCAACCCATAGCAGGGTTTGACATGTAACTCTGAAGAGACGGAAAAAGGGACGCAGCTGTTCTTCTGAAGACCACCTCTACAAAGGAGCTAGGAGAAAACAGTGCACAACATTTTTGTCAAGATACCATATGAGACCACCAACATCAGACCAATTCAAATCAAGAAGTTAATGCATCTCGTCTCCCCTGACCACCCAACTGTGACTGTGTGATGGACACAATGAATGGATTGGTGTTCAACACTCTTTCCACCCTCCTTCCAGCATTCCTTCCAGAGCCTAGAAATCTAAAATGAACATTTTCTCCTTTGCAGCTAGGGTTCAGGATGTGATTTAAGATCAACGAATCAATTGATTGGAAAGAATATTTGGAAGGAAGAAGTGAGATAAAGCCATACTTCTGTAGTTTCTGCTGAGAATTTTACTTATGAATGCCTTTGGTTTCTCAGTTGCAGAGTTGGAATAGGCCCAAGTGTCCGCTCACCAGCTTGGTAGGTGTCCAGAAACAGAGCTTAGGGCATTTGTTCTCCTGATGTGAACCGTATTAGGCAAACACACCAAACGCACTTCACCACACACCACTGCCCTCAGCCTATGTATGATTTCCCCTGTGCATAGATGCTATTATGGGGAGAATGATTCTTAAATCTGAATGAAACTCTACCTCAAAAAAATGTTTTTTTCAGAAGTGATGGAGTCATCTCAAAGTATCTAGATTGAATTTTTTCCATTTGATGAAAAAATGGTTCAAAACCGAAATTGGAATCAATTATAGAAAATCAAAGAATGGCTATTTTTTGGTCCCTTGGGTTTTATAAATTGTAGTAACTTTTATTTATTTTTTTAACTTTTTTTATTGAGTTATAATCATTTTACAATGTTGTGTCAAATTCTAGAGTAGAGCACAATTTTTCAGTTATATATGAACATATATATATTCATTGTCACATTTTTTTCGCTATGAGCTACCACAAGATCTTGTTTATATTTCCCTGTGCTGTACAGTATAATCATGTTTATCTACTCTGCATTTTAAAATCCCAGTCTGTCCCTTCCCACCCCCTGTAGTAACTTTTAAATAACATACTACTTGAGAAACCAAAAGAAAACCTCATTATAGGCAGATTTGTGTAAGATTAGATTACTTGTATTCTGACATGAAACTTAATCTAGAATGTGTCTGAAATATGTTTATATTCATACCCAGTTTCATCTTCATTTGTCTTTCAGTATATACATCTGATGGAAATAACTTCTAGGAGCTTGTTTTCTCCCCCAAGCCTGTCACTGTATTATTTATTCTTTCTTCCAATTTCTAAAATACAGTAAATAGCCCAAAGGGGGAAACCTCTAGCTTTATAGTCAAAATTTATAAAAAGATGACAAAAGGACCTATTGTAAACAGCAGATGAAATCATAAATAATTCAAAGAACTTAAAATACTTAAGTGGGCAACAAACCGAAGATTTGTGAAGTCGTAGCCTAACAGAAGCCACGTGCTTTACCACATTATTACCATTATTCTGCCAGGTGTCACTGGCAGATGTGGCTTAGTTGACTTTAATTTCTAGAACTTTATATACAATTTATGTATCTTTGTACATTAACATAAAATTATAGAAGGAAACAAAAATCTTCAACCTATATTTATATATGAATAGATCTAATGGAGGCATAGAATTGAGGTAATGATTAGATACAATTTGAGGACTGACCAAAATGATGGGTCAAATGTGTTTTATCTATTAAAATCTGGTTCTGTGCCTTGCACCACCTGAGTATTTCCTGATTACAGTTGAACCAGAATTCAGTTAAATTACAGGTTTTGTAGGAAATATGGGGCTTAGAAGAATGTGTTAAGTTTAAAAGATAAGATAACATAACATAATAAGGGAGCAATCATTCAAATCCAGAATATGAGACATTTTCCAGGGCGAACGATCCAGTTTTTCCCAGCAAATAACTATCATAAACAAAAAGGAAGGGAGTTTGTAATGTTACAGAATAAAAGAGATCTAAAAGATATAACAACCAAATGAAATTATGTGGACCCTGCTTGATTATGATTTAAACAAAACCTCTAAAATAAATCTTTGAGATAAATAAGGAATTGGAGTATGAACTAGTATTAGATGATATCAATGAATTATTGTTAAATAATTTTAAAAATCTCTTATCAAAAAAGATGCATACTAAAGTCTTTACAGATTAAATAACAGCATATCTTGGATGTGTTTTAAAATACGACAGTTCACCCCTCAACCCCAAAACAGGTCAAGGACGAGCTGGATGACAGGCATGTGAGAGTTCATTATACTACAGTATTTATGTATTTCCGAGAATGCCTGTAAGTTAAAAAAAAGAAAGAAAGAAAGAAAAGCTAGTTTGGGTAAGCACTCCTGCTAATTTAATTTTTTAAAAGTCAGTTGAGTTTTATCAAGTAGTTTGATCAATTTATTTTTCACTTTTTAAATTTATTCTTTTTGGCACTGCATGAATTTTAGAGCAAACATGAGTTGTAGCAATAATAGGCAGTAACATTTATTGAGAGCTCACTAAGTACAAGGAAATGTTCTAAGTAGGAGTATTTAATCCTAAAACAAAAACCAAAAACCAAAAAACCCTCTGAAGTACTGTGAAGGACACATGATGTGCCAACCAGATCCCCTTCAAGAAAAGGCTTTTCCCCCACTGCCAGGATGCTGTGAGCAAACCACCTTTGGCAGCCGGCCCCTGCAGGGTCTTCCTCAGTTACAGAGACCTGCATCACCCTAGTACTTGCTGGCCTCCAGGTGGCCCAGATCCAATGACAGATGGAAAAGGGATATAAAGGCCTGGCTATTTTGGCCACTGCAGAACTACGGTGCTGGGCTTTTTTAGCCTCAGTGCTCCTCAGAAGGTTGGCATGGCTATCTAGCACCTGGTTTGCTTTTGACTTCTCCCTTTACCCAATCTTCTTCCTTCCCTGCCATCCGCGGGTGTTGATTCCAAGGGCAGTTCTCAACAAACCACACGCACTGGACTCCATTTCTGAGTAGGCCTCCTAGAGAGCCCAATTTGTGACAAGAGCTATTATTACCACCACTAACCATGCCCCATTTTAGAACAGGAGAAACTGAGGCACAAGAGGATCACATAACGTGTCCAAGATTATACGAGTAGTAAGGGGTTCAAATGTAGGCAGCCTGTCTCTAGAGCCTTGGCTCTTAACTACAAATCTAAACTTTTTCTAATTTTAGGACTGAGAATCTGATTCTCTGGGATTTAGTTTTAATTTTGCAATGTATTTAACTATATGGCTTTGGTTAAATTATTTGAATGCTGTAAGCTTCAGTTTCCTGTTTTGCAAAACTGAGACAATTTTTATCCCCAGAGTCTATTTTGATGATTAAATGAGATAATACACAATAAAAGCAGTTGGGTTAGGTAGTCCATCACTGAAGGAAAGAGATCCAAGTAATACAGCTGTGTAGCATGTCTCAGAGAACTTGGTAGGACATGAAATTTCTTACCTGTAGATGCACTTTCGTTAGTTCTTGTGTGTAGTAGCATGGCTTAGTTGTCATCTTTATGGGAAATCCACATATATGGGGCAGTTTAGATTTTAATTCTGAAAGAAAACTTTTTAACACACCTTCCATATCTACTCTTGGAAAGAACTGTATGGGCTGACTTCTGATGCAACTGAGAGGGTATCTGAACAATGTTAAAGAACAATGGAACATTTTTTACAGATAAGAGACAGCATTTTTTTAATGACAGTAAGAAGATCTTAAAATAGAATGCCAAAAAGGCACACATAACTAAATCCTACCTACTTTATACATTGCTCATTCCACATTAGCCAAAGCTGTAAACTATGTTTTCTCAAAGGGGTCCCAATTCCTTCTATTTTAACACTCACAATAAAGACAGCTAACAGTACCCTTACTCTATGGCTTTCTATGTAGACTGGCAAATTAAGACATCCCAAAAGTGATTTATAAAAAAGACACTATGACCGTTATGGGTATTTTTTAAAAGCGCTTATAATAAATAACAAACAGGTTGCACTTCCAAGAGCAGTAAAAATTTAGTGCAGAGAAACAACACATATAGATTGTATTCAAGCTCAGAAAGCAGTTCTTTGAGAAAAGCAGTCTGATGAAAAATATCCTGAAGACCTGAAATAATGTCTTGGCATCTAATGAAGAGGAATAATTGACACCTGTCAATCTTAACTTTCTATTAAGATTTGGGTTAGGAAATGTAGAATACAGAAAAAGAACACTAGGTTCCTCCCTCTTCCATTTGGAAACTCCAGCTAATCAAAATACAGGGAGGCAGGAATGGTGAAATTAGTACTAACTAAGATGGAAGAGTTTCACGTGAGCACTTGTGTACTATTCATTTGTAGATTTTCTAAAATAACATTAAGAAAAACATTTTCTTAATTCAATGGAGAACATTAAGTGCAACTGAAGTCCTCTAAACTTTGCCTGTAAAATTAAATAGTCTCCAAAAAGAAAGTTTCATTAAATGACTAACTTTTTTATTCTACCCTTTCAATAATATCCATAATGCCACGAGAGGGAGCCCTTGGCTAAGGAGAATCTTACGATTATTTTCTTACTTTCTACTAGGAATCATGTAAACATTTTTTCTACTTAAAGTTTCTTCTGCTGTCTAAATTGTTGCAGTAGTGTTTAAGGAGGAAAATCATCATTATTTAGCTTATCCTCAAATAAAAATAGGAAAATTCTAGGGAAAACAACAATACTCATTTGGATAAAAAGAATTATAGAGAAAGTAGTTCCATTTGAACTTAAAGAAGGCTGAAAATGATTACGACATCAGGGGCAGGGAAGCCTGGACAATGAAGTGGGCAAAGGGCAGCTGTAAAGGATACGTGAAGATCTTTCCTCCTATCATTTTGAAGTAGATGCTGCAGTATATCTGAATATTTCCACAATCTTCTGGAAGTTTATAGCCATACTAAAAATTAGGAACAACGTGGAAATTCTTTTGAGAGAAAACTAAACTTAAGGTTAAATTACAAGAAGCAAAATCAAGTAACTTTCAACATAATATATATTTCTGTTCCTTACCAGGTCGTCCCAGTGCACCTGCAAATCTTCATATGAGTGAAAAGGACAGTCAGGAGGTATGGTGTGAAGAAATCTTATTATTTGTCCCATTTTCATACTATGAAAAATGAGTTGGTAAAATATTATGAGCCAATGCTTAGATACAGTTTAACTATGTGACTTAGAAGGCTTTCAAAAAGTTTTAGCAACTATTAACACACAAGTAATAAGCTACTCACTTGCTCCCAGTTCCAAATACACATTGTTTTAAATCTTAACAGCTAGAATTGTTAGGTGAAATTCTGTTGAACTGATGCAAACAATATGCCAGCTATAAACACAAAATAATGAGTAATATTTCTATACAGAGGTATGCCTGGTAATTGTTAGACTTGAGGGAAAAGTCTGTTAGGAGTTGAATGAATAGTAGTCAAATCTATGTTCCGTATCTACATCTGCTCGGCTTCAATGACCAAATTATTATGCATATGTTGCTATGTAAAGTCCTTTTTCCTAAAAAGGTTAAAATTTCATGCCAATAGACATATTTATGTTAGTAACAAGCCATTTTCCTCCTGAATATAGTACAAACTTAAAACTTAGCTCATATAAAATGATAATGAATCAATTATATGCACAAGTTTGTAAGAGTCTATTGATATTACTACAATAGTTGTAATTTCATAATGAGATTCTAGAACATTTACTCTTTTAAAACTAGGCTTAATAAAAATGTAAATGTATAACAAAATTATTTTAGTAATTTGACAAAGGAAATTTATGGCTTTTGCAAGTATGACAATATTGCTTCAATACTCTTTTAAAGTTATAATTCAGTTTCAAAACTTCACAGAAATGGTTTATACTTTTGCACACATCAATGTTGAAGCAAAATACGAGAAAACAACTGTGTCTTGAACCACCCTAGATACTACAAATCGAAAGCTCACCTTGGTAAAACGTAGCACCAGTTGCTTAAAATCGAATGTCCCTCAATAACAGCATTCTTGTTAGTACCAAAATCCTTTAAAATACTCCGAGAAATATCAAATTCTCTTAGCTTTTAATAGAAATAAGATTTTAATGCATAAGCCTTCGAAAGAATTTGGCAAACACAATAAACATTAAAACACAGATTTATTATACATGCACAGAGTCAGTTATAAAGTAGTTTCAAAGGCTAAATTACACTGAATCATACATAACCACTTTATATATTGTAATCAATGTTTCAGCTGACCATTTCTCCCCTATCCAACATATTAAACATTTCATGCCTTTCCTCTTCCAAACCAAAGCTCCTATTTTGTATTTATTTGAACCGGTTTTCAGTTTCTCTAGTTATGTTAATTTATGGGAAGTTGAATCTCTTTCCAAAGGAAGGTATTTACATTTTGTCAGTATAGCATCTCAACTAAATTTATTTGTTTTGTTTTTTAAACTGGAGAATGTGTAAGGGAGTTATACCTCTACCTGGTCTTCTGGAGGGTAGAGGACAGCCAATACTCAAGACTCCCACTCTCTTTTTGTATCCCTCTTCCATGTCCTGAAAAGCTTTTTCCCCTGGTCCTTAGGCATCCTATCTGTAGGATATTTAAGCCTGTAGGCAGCACCACAATTTGCCTCTTACAGTTTTCTCACCCTGGGACGTGTTCCTGGGGCATTTTCTTACAGTGAGCCAGAGACACAGAGAGACCCCAAGGGAGGCGAAAAATAAAGGATTAATGGTGAGAGGACACTGTATCATGTTTAGAGAGGATGGTTCACAATCCCTTGCCCCTATCATCATACATCTTTTGGGAAACAAGGTTCTGGTTTCACTGCCTACTGCTTTTCAATGAACTCCAGCTAACCTGGCCAATTTTTTTTATTGCCTGGACAAGTCATAAGCATTTTAATAATGCACTAGCTTAAAGCACTGCCCACACTCTGATTTATCTGAGTCCTACCATACCAGTCTTACAGGCCTAGATCTAGACCCACCTCCTCCACATTTGGTGACTTATCCTTCTCTGAATTCCTATTGCATTTATTAGACTAATGGAAATGGGGAGCAGGGCAGAGCAAAAAAATAGAGATGTGGGAAGGGGAAGATGATAAGTGCTGGTTATGTTGTGAAGACGGTAAGAAAGAAAAGATACCTATTGTGCTGTGCACTGGAGATAAATCTTGTACTGTGATGTTCTATGCTTAAGAGGTTAGTCACCTAAGCTGCATTATAAGAAAAAGATGGTCAGTACAGGGATGGCTATGAGCATCAGAAAAGACTGGCTGAAGGTGGATGAACAGATTATTCAAGGGAAAACAGAAACTGAAATTGAACTCAGGGAATATAGGTATCAGGTCAAAATGTTTGCAGTTTATAGGTTCTCACATACACCAACTTACATAGCTTGAGTTTATATCCTTTTGGGTATGTCTATATTGTTCAGAGGCTCAAGCCAACGGCTGCAGGGATCTCTGTGAGACTAGAACTAGTCTATATTGGTCTTCCTCAACTTAGAGTTTTCTGAAGACCACCCAACTCTTCACCAGATAACCCAAGAGACTCTGATTTATCTAGGGTTTATTTTTGAACCCTTTGCATTTATTTACTTCACAAATATTTATGCGTCCTTATGTGAACAAACCCATAGTGTTAAGAAAATACTCCATGAATATCACTTCCTCCACATAATGCCAATCTAAAGAATCTGGACTTGATTTTCGCTGGGCAATATTGAGATACTCCAGAAGCAAAGATGACTCTGAAGTCTTTAGCTGGGTAACTTATTGGCTGTTGATGCCATCAATCAAAAGAGCAAATTCAAAGGAGGTACAGAGTTGAGGTTGGGGAGCATGACAAGTAAATAACTCAGTTTTAGACATAACTGGGTCTGAGTACTATTAGTACATTCATGTGAAAGTATCTAAGAGAGGACAGACAAGCGGAAATTAATCAAGAATGTTTGGGAGGTATCATTGTATAGGTTCATCACTGGAATGGGTGAGTTTGCTAAGAAAAGGAAAAGAAGGTTCAAACAGAACCCTGGGACCAGCAACATTTACAATGGATAAGAGAAAGAAGAGCCGTGAATGAGTGGAGGAGAACATGGAGGGGGAAATCAGTTTCAGAGAAATCAAAAAAGGAGATGATTTTAAGAAGGGAAGGTGGAAAACTGTGTCAAAGTTCCAAAGGTTTCAAATATGAATTTCCTCAGACATCTCCTTTTTCTCTGAACTCCTACAGAAATGTAGTTCCTATAACAATTATTTTGATATTCTACTGCCAAAAAACCTGATATTTAATTGTTTTTTTCCCCCAATACTTATTAGGTAAGCACTTCTATGGGACACAGAAATTTGAGCCAAGGCTAGGTGAAGAAGTGTGATATAGTACAGCAGAAAGAACAAAATGGAAGGACAAAACCTAAATCCTGAATCTCTTACATGATGACCTAGAACAAGTTACTTAATCTCTGTGTCTCAGTTTACTTATAAAATAATAACAATAGCTATCCTTTCTGAACCTCTACTATGTACACTTGGTGTACTTCATCCCATTAACCTCCCAATATCATATGAGGTTAATATCATTACTCCAAATTTACAAGAACATTGAGATCCAAGGAGATTAAGTAACATGCCCAAAGAGGCATTGCTAATAAGGGCAGAACTGGGAATTTTAATGAGGTTCTAAGCCTACACTGATTTTTTTTTTTTTTTTGGTGTGTGAATTTAACCAGTGCTGAGTAAATGTTTCTTTCTCCTGGTAAGTTTTGTGTGTGAATGCCTTTTCTTCTGACCAAGATAAAAACTTCTAGAAGGAAAAGATGTCTTCTATCTGATCTGATGTCTGATCTCCAATGGGAATCCGTGGGTTTCTGTTCCTGCCATAAGTGGTGGATCAGTCTACCTAATTCTAGGGTTCCAATAGGTCACATTCTCCAATAGCTGTTTTCCTTTTTCAGTAATAAAAAGTGTGATCATATATCTGTTAAAATGAATAAAGTGGAGACCAAACTCGAAAATTCCTTAGGCAGACAAAACCAGTTAAGTCACAAAGGCAAAACCTAATTTAGCTTGTTCTGCAACACAAGCAAAATTTAACTTAGATTATTTCTTGTAAATGCCTCCAAACATCATAAGGGAAATTTAAATTGTGTTCCAAACTGGTGTAACTCTTAATCAATCCCTTCATTTGAAAACCCCATTGCTATAACCAGTCATTATAAAGATTAAACAGCTTCCACAGTTTCACTATATAATCTGTCCTGTAATAACACACCTCTGAGCTTCATTCCACTGTTGAAGACTCCCAATTCAAACTGATTTTTAGTGCACAATAAACTCTTAATAAATACAATTTTGATTGATCTTATTTTATGTTTTAACATAGCCCAGTTCATACACATTAGGCCAGTATCCCATAAGATTAGTGTCCCTTTCACTCTTAAAAGTGTTCATTTTGGATGATGAATTACATTCTCATCCTAGTAATAAAGGTGGCATTCTGATCTCTATACACCTTACTCTTTTTCATCATTCTCTAATTGGTTCAAAACTCAGGTATATAAAACAGAAGTATCATCTGTAGAAATTCGAAGGGCAGTAAGACAGTATTAGTCCTTCAGAAGCTCCTTACAAAGCAAGTTGGGGATATAACAATCAGCATAACTCTAAAAATACAAATAAATATGTGAGCATGGAGCTGAATAGTGTGAAGGTTTAAGAGGGTGGGAGAGCACACTGAGTTTGGAGCTGTGGAAACAGATACGGGATGCTGCCCATTCTGACAGAGAAGAACAAACCTCAAATATACATGACAGCCCATTCTCAAGGCTTTGACTCCTAGGATTGACCTTTAAAGGCATAACACTTTCATTCATGTATAGATAAAAAGTTGTGGAACAGAGAATAATATTTGTCTTGTTGGAGGTTTACAGGAACACCGTGCCTTGACGTAAGTGGGCAGTTGCAAGAACAACAGATTCTGACACCAAGAAGTTTGCAACGACCAGCCACACCTCCTCCCCTTTCAGTATAAAAGAAGCCTGAGTTCCAACTTGGGTAAGATGGTTCTTTGGACTAGTCCACCATCTTCTCAGTCTGCTGACTTTCTGAATAAAGTCACTACTCCTTACCCCATACCTCTCTCAATTTGTTAGCCTATCATGCAGCAAGCAGTATGAGCTTGGACTTGGTAACAAGTCCAGCTATTTATATTCAGGTCAGCTTTCCTACTGGCTTACATAATTCTTGAGGGCCAGAAAGTAGATCCTATTAATTTTTGACTTTCCTATTGCTTCCACATAACAGGTAATCAAAAAATTAAAGAGAAATGAATGGAGTAGCATCTGAGCTAGACTTTAAAGAATGAGCAGAATGTATAGCCAATCAGAGAGGCTTCTAAACAAAGGAAGAGTCAACTGTCCTATGCCTGATATTTCTCAACCTGGATACCACTGACAATTTAGGCTGAAAAACTCTTTTTGGGGGTTGGGGTGGGGTTGCTGTCCTGTGCACTACTGAACTTTTTAGCAGCATCCTCGCCTCTATCCACTGAATGCCACTAGCAACACATTCTTTTCACTTTGCGATAACCAAAAATTTCTCCAGATATTACAAATGTCTCATGGGGAACAAAATCACTCATTTCACTCTCCACTCTTCTCTGTTGAGAACCACTGTCATGGGAGAAATAAGATAACATTTATTCAGTTACCACTAATGTGTAAGGTTCTATGCTGGGTGCTGTGAAAATTAGCAAAATAAAAGACAAACCTTACTAAGATGGAAAAAAGGGTTATATGTAAAAATAGATGTAAAAATAAAAACCTATCATAATGCCAATGGGGGAAATTACATTTAGTACAAGCTGAAATAGCACTTTTAATATTTGGAGGTAAAAGAAGAGGCAAGTAGTGGGTGCTGAGGCAGGGCAGGATTGTGGAGTCTTGAATGTCACCTAAAAAGATTTTTGAGCAAGAGAATAATATAATTAGATCTGCACTAAATTGACAGAATGACGTTTTCTTTGGTTAAAAAGATTTAGGACAATATCAATACATCAGGCATTTAATAACATGGATTTTGATAATAAAAAACCTTCATATCACTCTTCTTGTTAAAAATTAAAACCTACTAGCATGTCAGTAATAATAAAAACTATATTAATTATATAATAAGCATAGGTAGATTAATTATAGAAATCAAAATATGTGGTACCTGAGGTGGTGGCAGTCTGATTGTGTAAGCTTCTATACTTAGGCAAACTTGAGTTTCTGTTACATTGATGTCTAACACTGAAAATAAAATATTTATCTGTGAACTTTCTGGAATTATTACTTCATCCTATTAAAGAAAGTATTTTAGTAACAAAAGAAACTACTTTAACAATTTATTCAAGTTAGAAACAGTTAAGAATCAATTTTTCAAATAATGGTAAAATTCAAATCATCATTATAATATTTGACTGTCTACTGATGAGATATCTAAAAGAAGACAAAAGCATGAAACAACACATATGTGGGTATGTATGTGTAGGGCAGGGTTACAATAAGAAAGATGAGATATCCCACAACTGGGAAGGAAACTCAGTAAATACCTTTTAGAAGTCTGACATCTATTATGTGTGAAAAATGAAGGCTCTTCTTACATTAGAAGAGGGTACCGTGCCAGGCTTTTGACTTCTGCAGTCTTACTAACAAATGTCCTTGAATATACAGGTAGATATATTCCAGACCTCACATAGCCCCAAGGCTTCTACCTTGTTTTCTCATAATTAAAATTACTCACACAAATTAGAAAGCAGCACCTGGAAGAAAGCATGAGGGGGCTTCTGGTGTACGGGTAATGTTCTATTTCTTGATCTGAGAACTGGTTATAAGGATGTTTAGCTTGTTAAATCCAATGAGCTATGCATCTATAATTTGTCAGTTCTGCTGTATAATATTACATTCAGTAAAACTAAAAGAAAAAATTCTAACGCAGGAGTGAGGAATTTTGTTCTTCTAAACTGGCATCTTGAATCTCCGACAGCTGCAGTCTCCTACAGCTTGTGTTTGGGGCTGGAACTAAATTTAGGTAAGGAACCTGTTCATCCAGAGCTAAAGCACAGTGACAGCCACTGTCAAACTTAAACATGAATCCAGAGCAAGGAGGGCAGATGGGCTTCAGCTCGAAAGTCAACTCAGATTGAACAGTTTGTGGATTATAGGTGCTAGCCCGGGAATTAAGGCTATGGCCAAACGGTGGTGAAAGCTACCATGATTAATAACAATGCCCACTTGGGCTCGGGATTTCTACCTATCTGCTGTCTCTGGACTACCCTTTAGGAACATGTCTACCTGTAACACAGCACACCAGTGAAAGAATTAGTTTAGACCATATTGCAAACTGTGTATTCTAGATCATCAGCGTCTCTTTAGACAATCTTTTTTTTTTAAGGAAAAGAAGACTAATGTATTCATACACAATAAAGTATTTACTTACAACAGTACTAAAGAATTTTTATGATATGGCTCTGGAAACTATACATTTTTAAGTGTCTGAAGAATTAAACTCCTTTTTAGTTGTAATTTTCTTTGGGTAGAGAAACTCAAAATATAGCTTTAATTCCAATTAAGAGAACTGAGTTTTTTCTCATGTAGGTAGAATACATTTTGAACTAGAGGTGATTTCCTGAGCGAAACTGTAATTATAATAATATCTGATTAAACTCTGATATAACCTGATCATCAAGATTGTAACAACCCAACTATCTGTAACACTGTTTTTGTAACAACCACGATTAATGTTTCATCTATTAACTTATGCATTTTTACTTACCAACAGCACTTTGCTTTCCCATCTGAGAAAGAAATTCTCTTCCTTAAAAAATCCACAGGATATGCCATATTATTATAACTCATAAATCATGCTTGATATAACCTTTTCATGTGAAATTATCAAAGCTAAGGAAAATGCTTTAAAGTGCAGTTTTATACAAATGAACATCTGATGACAGCTCAGAGAAAAAATACAATTGCCAAAAAGTATTTCTCCAATTAAAAGGACAGAATTCTTCCCTCAAATATTTATTACTGGTATAAAATACTTAGAAAACAGTCACTGCAACACAAAATTCAGAATAAACTTTCGGTTCCAACAATATTGGTAATTTGCATTCATTTTATGATAATGCTCCATGACTTATATTTATTCCTTTTTAAACATCAAGTATTATATAATAAAAAACATTTTCTTCAAAGAAACATTAGGAGACCTCTTGGATATAATCCCTAAGAAAGAAAATGACACATGTTGTTGCAGGCTTGCCTGAGAATGCTTGGTTGGGGCTATGCTTTAAAAAACATTCCCTAAAAATAATATACCTTGAAATTAAAAACAGATGTACATAGTAGAAGTAATCTACTACAGAGAATTCTAATGACTGAAAGAGATAAAGTCACCTTGCACCAAGAGATGGCCCGTTTTATTCCAGGTTGGAGCAAGTCTAGCCGTGAGTGAATATGACAGACAGCTCTGAAGAATTAAAGGAATTACTCGTTGTGGAGCCTCCATCTAAAAATATTAAAGCACAAAATGTAGGAAAATTCACAGCAATTGATATGTCCCTATAAACTCATAGAAAATGTCTGTTTAGATCACTGCTAACAAACTAGGTTATCCCAGATATGTTATAGTTATCACTACAGCTAATCCTATCTGGTTCTAAGTTTAAAGATGTGTTAAAATACATTCACTTTGAAACTATGACTATATTGGCCAAATTCTATCTGCTTATCCTGGACCAATAAGCCTAAATTCTTAGAGCACCTGTGCTAGGACCTTAAACTTCACTTTGTATTCTGATCTATACAAAGGAAACAAGGTCAGAACTATGTTATAATATTCTTCATTATTGCTCATTCTAGTTCAACATCAGAAAACAATTACATATTTAGTAGTGCACACATGCAACCAACAGAGTATCTCTACTAGTACAGAGTTTCAAAGATCAGAACCTTCACTTTCGACCAATAGAAGTAATGGGACCCAGATTTATTCTCCCACTTGCAATAACTGCAAAACTGGGTAGGTTATATGAAACAATGGCTCACAAGACACAGGACATCAAGTAACAAAGAAGAGAAAACACTAAGAGGTGGGAAACCTATGATTACCCCAGCATATTGATTAAAGAGGGTTTCCAGGCTGCAGTGCAAGGAGGGGGAAACCTGGAAGAGGCAGTGGGCTTCCTGAGTTGAATAGACAGAACTGAGAGTCCAAGGAGGCCAAGAAAGCTACAGTTTTGAGGGTAAAGTATTGGAGAGGAGAGAGCTGTACAGAGAGAACACTCTGAGATCAGCAGAGTCCCTCCTTGAGTATTCAGGTGCGTATGGAATAACACGTATATAAGGAAACTACACAGGTCTTGGGAAAGAACCAGGGCTGTATGCTACACAAACATCCTTGCAAATATAGTCCAGAAGAAAACACTGGCACTCCTGCTAGCAAGGCATGCAGAACAGTCAAGAGAGCCAGGGAGAACTGTCTCACAATATTATCTACTCCTTTTAAAAAAATATATAGTTGACATACAGTATTATGTTAGTTTCTGATTTGATATTTGCACACATTATGAAATGAGCATCACAATAAACTAGTAACCATCTGTCCGCAAGGTTATTACAGTATTATTGATTGTATTCTTTATGCTGTATGTTACATCTCTATTGTTTATTTATTTTATAACTGGAGGTTGGTACCTCTCAATCGCTTACACCTCGATCCACTTCCACTCCCAGTAACCCTCCTTTGTTCTCTGTATCTATGAGTTTTTCATTTTGTTTTATTTTGTTTGTTGTTTTTCAGATGCCACATGTAAGTGAGATCATGTGGTATTTGTCTTTCTCTGTCTGACCTAATTCACTTAGCATAATACCCTCTAGATCCATCTATGTTGTTATAGATGGCAAGATTTCTTTTAATGGCTGAGTAATATTCCATTGTGTATATATACACACCACATCTTCTTTATGCATTCACCTATTGACAGACACTTAGGTTGCCACCCTCATCTATGTACCATTTTGGTTTCTGGTGAATTTTCCCAGGATGCAAGTAATTAAATCTCTTGGTGGTGGAAGGGATCAGCTCTGTTCAATAGACAATTTAATTAAGGCTATTATTAATAGGACTCCAAGCAGCAGGATGAAACCAATCTGCAATGCTGACCTCAAACATGCCCCCAGGGTCCCAGATGTTCATTAAACATCTGCTGTGATTACTATTATGTAGAAAGTATCCATATAACGAAAAACTGAAAACAATCATGAAGGCGCAACAAGGCTGGGAAAGCATGTCGGGTTGGAAGAAAGCTCATGAATAACAAGAAATTCAGGATCTGGAAGTCTGGTGAAGGGCACAAAACGTATTTACTTAGTAGGAATCAGGAACTAGGATACATGGTGAATGGATAAGGTTATAAACCTTTAAAATCCTTTAAAAAATTTTAAACATTTTGGACATGAGGCAGCTTGAAGTGATAAAGTCAAAGGTGTGAATTAAAAGGCTGGAAGAAAATGCTAAACACTAATTGTTTTCATTAGTGTACAAGGACTATGGATGATATGTTTCTTAATTTTTAATTTTTTCTTAGAATCTTAAGATATATATAAAATGATGATATTTGGTATAAATATTTTTATTAAATCAATGTCAAAATGTTATCTATTCTTATGCTCAGAAAATAACTGTACTGATCTTTAGCATTCATCTCTAAAATAATATTTTATCTAATCTTTCATAACATATTTGTCAAAAAAAACCCTGATTTTGACCTTTAATTCAATATATTAATAAGAAGATTAAATTCTCCAAGAGCAGGCCAGTAAGACAGCAAGGGAGTCTCCACTAAACCAAGAGCTACTTTCCACAATAAAGGACAGAATTTTGTAGGGGGCCCCAGAAGATCTAGCTTCTAGTTTTAGGTGAATGATATACTCTAAATTTGGTCCTCATAGTTCACATATAACTGTTTCAGGATAATCAGATTCCTTAGATGACCAAAGACTTGTCTAAGCAAAAAGATTCAACTAAAATACTTCCTCATTGCTCCTAAAGAATACTGCTTTCCCACAGATTGTGAATGATGGCTGAAACCAGCTTTCAGGTTATTCAAAAATTTCTCAGGGAACTTCAAAGCCCCTCCAGATATTGCTGAGTCACTATCGTCCTTCTAGAACTTATAGAAAGCATCTCATCTTGGAGATGACCAAAAACCTCATTATCCCGAACACCACTTAACCTTGGAACAGAGGCCAGCAGTGATGCCTGGATGGGCTGCTAGAATTACCAAGGATATAGTGCCTCAGAGACAGGGGGAGATGTGAAGGGAGCTCCAGCAAAGCCTCCATGGCCGAGTAACTGAGACACGAGAGGTGCTCAACTCCACACATTCATTTTTTTCCTTCACTAAGATCCAGACACTCATCACCATGGAGAATACAATCTATACTGTTTGGTTCCCCTACTTATTAGCTATATGATTGTGGACAATATTTTCACCTTTCTGGGTTTCATTTTCTTCATCTGTAAAAATGGGGATATTCACTTCTTAGAAGATATAGATGGGAAATGAGATTATGCCACATAAAATGCACGAAAGAAAGTACTGGACAAAATTAAGCCTCTTCCCCTTTTTCTCTACTAAATGTGCACAAGATAACTGCTCTGGGAAAAAATGTTGGGTTCTTTCAAATGCATAGCAATAACTTCTGAGAAAGATACTACAATTTTTGTTTTCTGACAAAAGAAGTGGAAAACAAAATAAGTATAAATACCATCTAAAATTATTATCTTTTTCAAAACTTACCTTAGCTCCATATTTTTCAATGTAGGCATTAAGTTTTCCAGCTTTATAAAATGGTATCTATAACAAAAATCCACATTTATAGAAAGGACTTTACACAAATATATCATTAAATAATGTACTACATAAAGAATTTAAACATTATACAGCAGAGGGCACAGCAGAGGGCCATTATCCTAACAGTTTCTATGCCTTGGAAAAAGAAGTAGGTGATAAGCATTTTCTTCCTGAAATAGAATCTGTGGGTACATTCGCAAAATGAGGAAAGCCTTTCTGGGAGTGACCTGAACACAGCAATCACATAAAGGAAAAGGCCAATAAATTTCATATAACAAATATTCAATACCTTTCTTAATAAACAATAATGTCTTAGACATGAATAAAGAAAGTGAACACAAGTGGAAGATCAAGGGGAAAGTTCAAAAGGCCAAGGTCTTTCAATTAACCAATGAAAAAACCAGAAACTAAAAGAAGTTATTATTTTTAACCTAACGGATTGGCAGATATGTAAAAACTGCTAATACCTAGTGTTTGTGAGGATGTGGAAATACAAATTATCTCAACACATTGTTTATCAAATGTAATCTAGTACAAGCTTTTCAGAGTGCAATTTAGCAGTATGTAGATTATAGTTTAAATGTGCTGCAATCCAACATCTAAGAATTTAACCCACAGAAACTGCCAGACAAGTAATGATATAATTTCAATGATGCTTTCTGAAGCATTGTTTAAAACAGCACAAGACTCAGATGTGCATTAGAAAGTAATAATTATATTATTATACATTCATACAATGAAATATTTCACAGACTTAAAAATGAGTAAGATATATATACTGACACAGAACAATAACCTAGAGGCTGTTAAAGGGGAAATGAAAAGTAAGTTTCAAAATAGCATGCATAATAATCCCACTTTCTACTTTTAGTATTTTTGTAAACATTTTTATATCATGTACTATCTTTGTAAGAAAGCAAAGCATATTTTTAGATAGCTATTTTCCTCTTATTATTCTTACTAAGATTAGGATATCAGGATTTACTAGAGCTCTAAAACAATGTCCTCCTTGTTCCATAAATTTCTGGGTAGAATAGAACACAAATAAGAGACATTAGTGTCTACTTGTTCACCAAGAACTTGTCTTTCTCAAAAACAACATTAAGGATGAGAAGATAAAAGATGGACATACAACCATATAACCTAGAAGAAAAATAAAAGACCTGCAGATTTTGAATGGCCTAATGGCATTGTTAATAAATGTCAATTTCAGTGGATTCTGGGGAATTAAAATCTCAAAATAAAGAGGACTTTCAGAAAGATTTTTGACAAAAATCTCAGGATAATATGATTTTTATAAAGACTCTTGGTACTTCATTTATCATTCGTAGGTATATACGGCACTGGGAAATATATTTCTTCTGATTTTACCAAGTAAGAAAAAAAGTTTTTAACGTTAGTGAATTTCCAAATTAAAAAAAAAAAACTGTTCACCTAAGTTCTTCAAAAACAATTGGAGATTTGTTGGTATGAGAAACTTCTTTTATATTTAATGTAATTCTAAAGAATAAAATACAAGAAAAGGATTAAGCTTGTGCTACCTTTAAAAATGATGCTATAATATATTTTATTAATAGTCTTTATCTTAACATTAATGACAGAGAAAACTAAATATGAAATTAGAGCCACAAAAATGGATCTTAAACCTCAGGTATATCAAAGTTAGAGTCATTAATGGTTTGATCAAACTACAATACAGCATAATTTGTCTTCATAAACCATCTTCAGTTTGCACAATAATTAATACTTGAATTATTGTTTATCAATATTGCTCCCAATAATTAGTAATAATACTTTATAAAATGTTAAAAAAAAAACAAAAACTAACCGCCATCACCACCCAAATTTGGGTAAATATTCCAGGTACAGGTGATGTAAAGATATCTTGGTACAAAAACAGCAATTGCCTGTGGAGATGAAATGTATTAATTTTAAAACGGATTGTTTACTATCTGTTTTTACTTTATCAGAACATTTAAAATTTGCTTAGTTCCAATCAAAAGTTTGAGTTTCTTCTAGGCAAGAATTTTATCACAGATTTCTATATCTCTCCCCACATTTACCATGGTACCTCAAACACTGTAAGTGATCAGCCAAGATTTGAAATGAGAGAATTATAAAGTTTTGGATATGATATTAATATGAAAACTTGTCCACATCTGTTTCCTAACATC